CATGACGAAGTGGACCAAGTGTTGACGCTCTCCTGCCTGGGTCAGCTTGAGCTCCATTACAACCAAAACCACAAGGTGTACAAAGCTCGTGCAGCGCTGCCAAATCGGCCTGAGCAAGAACAGGATTTGGCTGTCAAGGAGTATGCATTTGCCCAGCAACACAAGCAAAATCAGTGTCGTACGTTTCTGCGCGAGCTTCGCGCCATGCGCCAGCTTGAGCATCCAAACATCGTTCCAGTCCTCGGTGCGCTTGTGGGCGTGCATGATGGCCACCCAAGCGCCTATCTGGTGCAGCCGTGGTGTACACAGGGGGATCTGCAGCAGTGGCTCGGCAAGGCGCGGCATCTGGCCACCTCGACCGTCGTTGCGAGTTTGATGACGCAGCTGCGCATGGCCCTGGCGTTTATGCATAGCAAGGGCCTGGTGCATCGGGATGTCAAGCTGAGCAATGTGATGCTGGACGGTGACGAGAACCAACCTGTTGTGCGGCTCGGCGATTTCGACATTACCAAGGCGGCTGCCGAAGCCACTATGCTACCATGCACAGCCACTGCGTCGTCGGGCACGACTGGCTATATAGCACCGGAGGTGCTATTTGGAATGGGTCGTGTAGGTGCACGACCGGCACAGGATGCCTTTTCCTTTGGCTGTGTGCTATACAACACCTACATGTTTCCACAGACGGTGCCACCTGCTCGTTTACCCACGGACCAGCTTGCCGATCAATGCACATGGGATGCAGGGGCAGGAGGTGCAGAATGCAGTTTTCCGCACTTGGCGGCTGAGGTGAGTAATATCGCAATATCCCTTGAGCGACAACTGAGCACCGCTTTGATTGTGATTTGCTTTGCTGACCTTTGCTGCAGATGTGCAATTCGACGAGCGAGTTGTACAAGGAAACACGGGCCTTGCTTGCAACAGATCCAAAGCAGCGGCCAAATCTCTTCAGCGCCGGGCAAAGAGTGCAGCGACCTGTCACGACTCAAGTTGTTGGGCCAGCTATCGACGTTTTGCGCGACGCACCCGAGCTCATCCCAGAGGTGCGTTGCTTGCCGACATAGTCATATTTTCATTATTTTTATCTTGACAAGCCGACTGGTTTGACCCCATTATGTACCAAGGTGGTTGAACTGCTACAGCAGCTGAGTGCTGACGGGCGAGGGCCAAGCAACATTGCAGTGCGGCGGGTGGAGCGTGTGCAGAACCCCGTGCTGTGGGAACGGTACAGCGCCAAGCGATGGGAGATGCTGCACCGCATTACAAGTCAGGAACACTATGATCAACTTCATACGGCCACAGTAGATGCGTTCTCGGGCTGTCCAGCTTTGCTTCGAAATACACCCTGTCAAGAGCGCTTGTTGCTTCACGGCATCGCCCCTGACACAATGTTGCGCGACAAGATTGTGCGCCTGGGCTTTGACTATCGTTTCGCTGGTCGCAGCTCAGGCCACAATTATGGACTTGGTGTTTACTTGGCCAATCATCCCGGCAAGGTGTGGTGGTACTGTTGGGCTGCAGGGTTCTACGTGCGTGTTCTCACATTGCTTTATTGGCGCTGTGTGTCTACTTTCGAACCTGGGTGTAGAGTCACCAATATGCGACGCCCGGAGAAAACGGTGAACGCATGCTCATTATTACGCGAGTCCTGTGGGCCGTGCCTATGTCCATCCTTCGCCTCCTTTCAGAGCGCTGGCTCCCCCGCTGCTGCCCAATGCACACAACAATGAGCGGTATGTCGATCAAGATCCAATGTCGTCGAGTCCTGTCTCACAGTTTGATGGGACTCACGTTTGGTTGTCTTGCAGATTTGATTCTGTCATTGCTACACCGCAAGTTACGTTTCGTGAGGTGATAATGTTCGACAATGCCCAGATTTACCCCGAACTAGTCGTCTACTACACTGCCTAGATGTTTTCGTTGAGATCCTTTGTCGTGCAGTCGAATCTGCTCTCCCAGACACTTGTCCTGCTTTTGCACACATCCAGCGTCGTTCACCACAAGGCCTCCTCGTTGGGAATACCCAAAGGTGGTTCGACTTTGCTTGCACATCCACGCACATCCTTTGAATGTGGGAAGGCTCACAAGTGCGTGTTTCAAGTACTTTTGCAATATCCTGGCAGACTGCCATGCCCACTCCGTCTTTGACTACCGTCGTCTCTTCTTGCTGTGATACCTGCGCTTGGACACGCGTCGCACTTTTCCTGTCCTTGGAACCGAGAGCGATTCCGCAGCTATTTCAACGGTGCCCTGTCCTTGGAACCGAGAGCGATTCCGCAGCTATTTCAACGGTGCACCTGGTCTGGTCATTGTGAATACGTTCCAACCGCAGCTGGTAGAATTGACCTGCAGACAGCAAAAAATGTCTTGCTCCTTCCCGACAAACGCCCCCGAAACCCCTGGAAAAAGGTTTCGTCTCGACTGCGTCTCGAGTCGTTGAGGTATCACGGCGTACCTCAACCGTGTGTTGGAAGCAGCGATGAAAATCAGGATTGCAAAAATTCTGCGAGACCAACGGGTGTCGACACGGTGCTCCGGTGATTGCCTGAACGGCTCATGCTGATGATGATGATGCCACGACACTCCGTCTCGCCCGAGGAGTAGAAAGCAGGAGCAAGTGAAAAAAAAATAAAAAAAAAATAAAAATAAAAAAAGCAAGAAGAAGGACATGAAGCACAGTCATTGAGCGCGCGCCTCGCACTCGTCTGACCAACTTTTCGTCGACGCGTTACCATGAGCGTAAATCCGGCTCGCTCGCCGTCAGGAATGGTCGCTCGCATCCGGGCGGGGGATAAGATTGATATGACTGGAGAGGCAGTTAGCCAAACGGGCTTGTAACGTCATGGCAAGCATCGAGGCAGTACACGTTGTACGTTCAAGCCCCAGTTTTACAGCGCCTTGGAAGCTGCTCGTAACAGGCGAGCTGTCATGCCAGGCAAAGGGGCAGTCCACGTTGGTACGGACACAAGCTTGACGGCGCTTTGGAACATTTGCTTGTAAGACTGTTGTTGTTTTGACTTTTCTCCCAAAGTTAAAGAAAAGTTCAAAAAGAAGAAGGACAAGGTGTAAACGTGTGTGTGTGTGTGTGTGTGTTGCTTGCATTTTCCTTCTTCTGGTTCAAGCTTGCCTCTCTCTTTGGCTTGTTGCCATTGCTTTTGCTCTTCTTCTTCTTCTTCTTGGTGGTGGTGTTGCCCTTTTTTGGCAGCGGTCTCGGTATCGGTATCGGCATTGGCGGGCTGCTTGACGTGTCTTGATGTGTGTGTGCGTGGTGACTGATTGCTTGTGCTTGGTACGGGACTCTTCTGGTCGGGGCCTTGCGGCAACGCCAGAACGTTTTGATTGAAAGCACTGCTGCCATTTTTTTGCTTTCAACTGAAGTTGGCCTCACCGATCTCGCCTCGCAGTCGACGACGTGCGCTTGGGCAACCAAGTCCACCTGTACCCGCGGCTGCCACGGAGAACTATTGGCCAAAGGTGCGTCGTTTGTTGCATCAGGCAGAGAAGAGCAAGGAGCCCGCTGACCGGCTGCCGTTTTGGAAACGGCGCGCGCCTGTCGGATCCCAGTCCGAATTCTGGATTGTCAGACGAGTTGTACTTGGAGGGGGCTCATGAGATTGATGGTGGATAGAGAAGCAAGCAAAGCGGTTTGAAGCGGATGGTGAATAGAGAGAGATACCGTTACCATGAGTGCTGATGGAGAGCAGCTGTTCAGTGCGTGTTGTTCATCAGATCCACAAGAGGCGCTGCAGCTGGTGACCAGTTGGGACCAACAACGTATACGAGATGCTGCCCAATACAAAGATTGGGTACGTATGCTGTTTGATATGATGTTGTGTGATATTGGTTACACTTTGAATATGTCATTGAAGTTTTTTCGTTATGGTATAACATGGGACATATACTGCATGTTTGCATCATCCCACAGCTTGGCGATACACCACTGCACTGGGCCTGCGAACAGGGTCATGTCAAGGTGGTGGAGATGCTGTTGAAGCACGGTGCTGATACTGAAGCCAAGAACAACGTCAGTACAGTACCTCCCTCTTCTCCCCTTTACCCCTCTATGATGGTGCACCCGTACCCCATGATGATGATGATGATGATGCTGTACGTCATGCTGATGCATCATCCCACAGAATGGCTATACACCACTGCACGAGGCCTGCATTTACGGTCATGTCACGGTGGTGGAGATGCTGTTGAAGCACGGTGCTGATGCTATAGCCAAGAACAACGTCAGTCCAGTACCTCCCTCTTTCCCCCTTTACCCCCCTCTATGATGGTGCTCCTGTACCCCATGATGATGATGATGATGCTGTACCTGTACGTCATGCTGATGCATCATCCCACAGGATGGCTATACACCACTGCACTATGCCTGCCACAACGGTCATGACAAGGTGGCGGAGATGCTGTTGAAGCACGGTGTTGATACTGAAGCCAAGAACAGGGTCAGTACAGTACCTCCCTCTTCTCCCCCTTTACCCCTCTATGATGGTGCACCCGTACCCCATGATGATGATGATGATGATGATGATGCTGTACCTGTACGTCATGCTGATGCATCATCCCACAGTTTGGCGAAACACCACTGCACGAGGCCTGCGG